GGAGGAACCACCGCTTGAGGGATTTTTGGATCCATTGCCAATATTGGGGGAAAAAAAAAATCACCTCTTGGCTGAGGAATTTCTGGATCCACGACCGAATTTCGGGAGAGGAATCGCCGCCTCGATGGTTTGGGGTTGGGTTTTTCTGAAGACTTGCAAACTCCGCACTCGTCTCCGCTTTTGTTCCGTGTTTTCTGGTTGGATGTCAGGCTGGGTTTATATTCCCCATTTGGAGAAGCTCCAACTGGTTTTTCTTACTGGGAAGTAATTTTGAGAAGCTCCAAGTGAACACTCCGAGCATCCCATTTCCTGCCTTATTCCCTTTTCCACGGCAGGACGACCACAGGGATCCAGAGCATCACCTGGGAGCTGGCATTTTTAAGCTGGGGCTTAAATGAAAAACCTTGACTTAAAGCAACAAAAATTTGCCACTTACACCGTGGAAGTTGCCAGCCCACACCTCATCTCCAAGAAATCACACCCCAAATCATCCCTGATCCCGGCCCAGCTCATCCCAACTTCACATTTTTTTCCCTTCAACCGCTGTTTTCATTCTGATTTATTTTCCTTTGTGCTCAGATTTTCCAAGCAGCCTTTTTTTTTTTTTCCCCTTTCGGTCACTAAACTACATTTTTTGTCCTTTTTTTTTTTTTTAAATATTTATTTATTCATTTTTGGACGGGCTGGCAGCGGGATTTGGGCTTTCCTTTGGGTTCCTTCTCCCGGAGATTTATGACTCTCCAAAGATTCTTCCTAAAATATTTACAAAAGCGGGAATGTTTGACTCGGCCGAGGCTGTCAGGACTCTGGGTGGCACGAGGGGGGAATATAAACAGACCTTTTTTTCCACTCCCAAAAAACCACGAGAAACCTTTCCTTCTTTTTGTCTCTTCCCCCCTCTGGTTGTTCCCTGTTATCCGGTGCCAAGCCTCGCAGGGCCTTGGCTTTGTTTGAAATGGGGGGTTTTCCAAGAAATCCGGGAATTCTCGTGTGGGCACGGGGTGGTTTGAACCTATTTTTGAGTGAATAATAAAATAAATGATATTTTTCTGGCTGGGGATGGTGTGTTGAAGGACGGGATTCGGGCATTTCCCTGCGGCCTCAAATGCCAAAATAAGTGTTAAATGGGGGTGATGGGTCTTAAAAGGGGTAATAGGGTGTTAATTGGGGGTAATTGCTGTTAATTAGGGGTAATCGGTGTGTTAACTGGGGGTGGCACGTGTTAAATGGGGACGATGCACCTTTAATCCTATTAATTTATGGGATGGGGTCAAACGCTGCTGAAATGGGGCTCAAACAGTAGGTTGGCTCTGACTCCTCTCCCGGGGGAATCTCCTGGGAAGCAGGAACAGGGAGAAGGGGCTGAGGTGGGACCGGGGGGGTGGGATTGGGAATGTGAGGCTGGAAAAGGCAACATTTCACCCCAAAAAAAGACTGAGCCCCAGCACCGACCCGAGGGGCAGAACGGTGAGAGACCGGCCCGGCCTGGGAGGTGTTTTCCTTGGAAAATAAAATCAAATAATAAAATAAAATAATAAAATAAAATAAAATAAAATG